AAAATTGACTTGATTGAGATGAAGGTAAGGTAGCTAATATTCAATTTAAAATAAATTACTTTCTTTGCAGCAAAAGTCAGGCAGGTGATCATTTGAGTCAATCTCAAACTTCGCACACTTTAAGTTCGAACTTTCTGTCCCCGTAACATGAGCGCTGCATCGGGACAGCGTTGTCGTCGATCCTCTCTTGTCGTCAATTTGTTGCTGACTTGTCAACGTAGTCGCGTCTGAATAATCGGATTTGGACTCCTCTGCTATTCTGTAACTTGAGTAGAGTCTGTATTTTAAATTAAACCAGTTTTCATAGCTGTTCGTTTTCTCGTACTCGGCTTCGTCTTCTTCGCTGCTTCCCAAATTGTTCACACTGCCGTCGAGGTCAATAGGTGAGTCACTTGATCTTGTCGGACTCTTTTTCAAATTTTCATTCAGTTTGTTGAAAATTTGTTTAGTTGCCGAGGAAAAAAGCACTCGAATAAAGAAATTGCTAGTTATTCTGGTGACAATGATATACAAGAGTGCAGGGGCGGATTTATGGGGGGGCGGGGGTATACGCCTCTCCCTCAAGGATTCGACTCCCTGCCGACCCAAAGGGTCCCCCCTTTGATACTTTTTCAGAAATCCATTTTTGGCCGACCGACCCTAAAATTTTTCTAAAGGCGCCTTTGGCGCCAACATATACTAACTATGAGGGGGAGCGCGCGCCAAAAAAAACGCGATTTTTTTGTCTAAATTTTTCAAAAAGTGCCCAAAAACGGCTTTTTTGACTGTTTTTTCAGAAATTTGCCTGCGGCGCAGAAAATTTAGCCAAAATGGGGGCAAAAAAGTGCTTTGGGAGAGCTCCAAAAATCAATTTGGTCGACCTAAAAAAAAAGGTCGTCAAAATTTTCGAATTTTTTTTTGAAAATCCGCCCCCCCCCCCCCTCGAGAAAATCCTAGATCCGCCCCTGCAAGAGTGGATCTAGGATTTTCATGAGGGGAGGGGGGGTTTCAAAAATTTGAAATTTGGATTGGTTTTGGAAATTTGGATTTGGAAAATTTTTTTAGGTCGACCAGATTGATTTAAAACTTTTCGGCACGGTTTAGACCAAAAAATTTTGGGCTCTTTTCCAGTCCCCCCACTTTGATATTTTGGCTCTTTTCCAATTCCCCCCCTTTCAAATTCAAATTTGAGAAGTTTATTTAACGTTGTCATAATGCAATGAAACTTGGCGTGGTGAACTTATCGACAGCAGTGAACAGATTTGTTCTTTATACTTTACAGCGTAACATCACGCATTTAGTCGTAATAACACGTAAAACAAACATAAAACTCGGTATTTTGAAAGGGAACTGGAAAAGAGCCGATTATTTCTGAAATTCAATAAATGAAAGTCTTTTCAAAATGACTTTTTGTATTATAAACTGCATCAAAACGGTCGGCGTGAACAGGTGAACAAATTTCGACAATATTTCTCACATGCAAAATGCCGTGTGAACAATTTTTGTACAGTTTTATTTTATAGTTTTTCGAGGGGGGTAGAAAATTGGAAAAGAGCCAAATTTAGTTTTTTTTTTGAGCGCGCTCCCCCTAAAAAATAGTATTAAGTAGCGCCAAAAGCACGTTAGAAAAAAATTAGGCTCAGTCGGCCGGGAACGGATCGTAAAACAGTACCAAAAATTTTTTTTCTAATGTGCAGTGCTGATTTAAATTAACCGGACAAAGCGCATTAAACTTGAAATTTAAAACCCGTTTTTCTCAAATTGGGTTGAGTTTAGGTGAAAACCTATGAAGACAAAATTAGCTTGAAATTTTAGCAGAATTAATATGGTTAATTTGTTTTGCGAATTTCGGGCTTTTCTTAGTTAATCAAAAATTACGCCAAAAATACCCAGTCGATCACAGACATAATTATATCAAAGTGAGCCCCTTACGTAGCCCAACAAACTTCAAGAAGGGCATAACCTCCAAAAAATTGTATAAAATATTTTATCTTTGTTTGATAGACAAAAAAGATCGTTTTTACTATATAAAATACCAAATTTTTATTTAAAAACATTTTTTAAACAACGTGCACTTTTTTGGAGAAAATACCCTTCTTAAAGTTTGTTGGGCTACGTAAGAGGCTCACTTTGATATAATTATGTCTGTGATCGACTGGGTATTTTTGGCGTAATTTTTGATTAACTAAGAAAAGCCAAAATGACCCATTCTTGCGGTAAAATTTCGGGCCCGAAATTCGCAAAACAAATTACACCATATTAATTCTGCTAAAATTTTAAGCAAGTTTTGTCTTCATAAGGTTTCGCCTAAACTCAACCCAATTTGAGAAAAACGGGTTTTTAATTTCAAGTTTAACGCGTTTTGTCCGGTTAATTTAAATCAGCACTGTATGCTTTGGGGTGCAAAACCGTTTCTTTCCGTTAATAGGCTGGTGTATAGGGTGACGCGGTGAAGAGCCAGCCTATCCTAATCATCGCTCCGTTATCCGCGACGTCAACGACTTACAGCAGAGTAAAAACTTTGTAATATTTCACTCACAGAGTAAAACTTCAAAAAATTGTAATATTTCTGTCTGTGTTCTAGTAAACAAACATAGAAGCGTTAAGATTGCTAAAAATTCGTAATGACTAAAAAATGTACACACAACTTTTAAAAGAGCCGACCTTTGAGAGGAATGCTTCTCTTTAGTTTTCTTGCTGAAAATGGACTTTATCGACCGTTTAATACTTCGTTTCGGAACAGAGTGTGTCGATTGTCTAGAAGTAACTGTACTTGAACTCTCGTACGGTTGAGTGTAATTCTGATCCGCTGATGTCGAGGGATCATTGCGCGATCTCTTTTTCTTGAACTTCATAAGGAAAAAACTAAGTAATTAATACGGTTTAAAGTTATGAAATAAAAAAAATATATAGAAAAACAAATTAGCTTGAAGGACACGTGCAAAAAATATTTTGAATTGTAATACTTTTTTAAGTACTTTCCTAACTTTCCTTGTACTACTAACTTGTACAAGATGGATCTGGGAAAAGGGAGTGGATTTTATTTTTGCGAAAGGAGGGGGTTGATTTTGAAAAATTTTCCAAAGTTATTGCCAGATGTTTGAATCAAACCCTTGTTTTGAGCTCTACCAAAACGTTGAAAAGATCTTTTTTGGCAACGATTTTTTTGAAAAAAAATTTATGCAAAACGTTTCCGCCTTTAAGCTCTCTTCCTACACCCCTCCCCCTTTCCTATCCTAAAAAAAATTGAAATGTTGAAATGTTTAGTATAGTAGAAAAGAGCCCGTTTTTGGGAACTTTTGGAAATTTTTCATCAAAAAATCTCATTCTTAGAATAAAATATAAGGAAACCACGCGTCTGAAAAATTTTGGCTCTTTTCCAGTTCCCCCTTTCAAATTCAACTTTGAAAAGCTTAATTAACCTTGTCATAATGCAATGAAATTTGGCGTGGTGAACAAATCAACAACTGTGAACAGATTTGTTCTTCATACTTTACAGCGTAACAACGCATTTAGCCGTAATAACACGTAAAACATACATAAAACTCGCTATTTTGAAAGGTGGGAGGGTAGAAACTGGAAAAAAGCCAAAATTTTTGGTAAAAAATATGTTCCTAACAGAATTAATCTGCCGCTGACGGTACGCGTTAAAAGAAGGTTGAAAATTTTTGCAAATTAACTATATCAAATTGACCAAATTGACCATTGTTAAAACCCCATAATTTCCCAAAACAATGGTCTACTGTTAACTATTTTTTAACTTTGATCTGATGGAGTAAATATCTTTCCGACAAACAAAAAGTCCGCAAAAATTGTCAGCTAAAAGTTCGAAACTCCTTTGGAGAAAAAATAATCCCAGCACAAATAGTTTCTTCCGCGTCCTTAATCAGAACTTTGATTATAGCTTCATCAGACATGTAGCGATTTTGAAGGATCGGAATATTTTTAGTTGAGGCTGTTTTTTATTGATAACTTTTTTAGTATGCTACATGAAGATCCGTTGCTCAAATTTATTCCAAGTTGATTTTAAGAAAGCTAATTGCTCACATTAATAGCTATTTCACTCAAATTTACAGCTCTTATATTCTAATTTTTCTTCTGTCAGTAGAAGAAACCAAATTCAAAATGAGTACAGGGCGGTCGGATCACACAAGGGTTTCTAGTGATACGGGCAGTTTTTCTTATCATTCATACAGCACGAAAGGTCAGGCAAGTTTGTTCAAACTGTGAAACTGGAAAAAAATCTCACATTCATTTCCATTTTCATAGATTTCATTTCCATTTTTCGGATGCCAATTTGCCTTTAAAATCAAAGAACATGAAAATTTACCTCGAAGCTCAAAGAATAGTTGGAAATTTTTAGAGAATTGTGGTTTTGATCATCGAAATTTTTTCAGAAAAAAAACTGACTGCTGACGAAATATAGTTTATCAAACCCCAGGAACTCAATAAAAAAGTAAATATGGAGCGCTAGTTTGATCATCTGATTTTTGCTGATCATACTGAACTGAAACTTAGTGAATAGAAAAGCATGAACTTGTAAAAAAAGAAGGTTGTTTGACCTCATTTTAACGCCCTCATTTGACCTTCTTTTTCTTCTTTCACTAGGAATGGCACGTTCCTTTTTTAAATAAAACTCAATTTGTAACATCGTAAGTTGATAAAAGCTTGAAGAGCTCTTTTGTTTTCAGAAAACGTCAGAAGCCACAAAAAGTACCGAGAGTTTGTTTTTCAGAGACGATAGCTCTGAAGTCAGGACTGCTTCGTACATAAACTCTGACTTGATGAAGGGGAGTGAAAAAGCTTGAAGAGCTCTTTTGTTTTCAGAAAACGTCAGAAGCCACAAAAAGTAACAAGAGTTTGTTTTTCAGAGACGATAGCTCTGACGTCAGGACTGCTTCGGACAGAAACTCCGACCTGTTGAGGGGAGTGAAAAATCATGAAACGGACCAACGTTGCTACAAGAAAAAACATGTGTATTTACAGCAGTAATGATATTTATGCGCAAAAAATTACTTTTTTGATTTCTTTGCTTTTAACCAGCTGTTAATATAACAGGTTTAGTGAATTCTACACGTGCAAAACGATTTTTATATTACTTTTATACTTTTTCTTTGGTTCGAAAAAAAACGTTGGTTGAATATAATTATATCTTCATTCTAGATTTTGTTGGTTTAATAACAAAAACTTCCTGTTTATCTTATAGCTTTGAAAGTTTCTTTAGACATATAAATCAATCGGAAGAACAAAAAGCGGTGAGTCTGGTTTGATTTGAAGCAGCTAGGGTTTTGAAAAATTAAATTTTTTAAAATTCGGTTCCAATACAGTTGACATTGTATAAGATGGCAGGGTATCTTCAACAGCACTACTAAAATGAACCCAATCAATCTTTCTATCAGCCAGTAGTCTTGTGTATACTGTAATCTAACCCTAATCTATCCATTTTTCAGATCGATTCAAACTCAAATCGAATCAGTCAGCCGTTTGATTTCTGAAAACTGAAGTGAAAAATGGCATCCACATCCCGGTCCCAAATTTCGGTCCAAAGACGCCTCGACTGTCCCGGCTGTGGTGAGGAGCTGAATGGAAATGTACCGGAGCTTCCATGTGGCCATTGCGTTTGCCGAAGTTGCGCCAAGGAACTTGAGTCCCAGAGTGTTCAGAAATGCGCGATGATGAACTGTGCGAGCAACAGAAATGCGTTTGAACAGCGTATTAAATTCTCCAATCTACCTCAACGATCGGTTGTTGACATCGAAAACAACAGCATGGGGCTACCTCCACCCTATCAAGGTAGAAACCATGTTATTAAATTCTACATTCTTCAATGATAACAAAATCTAATGCAAATATGGAAACGCCGTTATAAGGAGAACGTTTTTGCATCAAATTGATTTTTGTATGACCCCCGTATATACCAATTAATTTTCAGTTTTCAAACCAGCAGCGGAATTATGGAAAAAGGTTGGTTTTTAAAGACCACAGGACAATTCTACATCCTCGCAATCCAAAAATTTTCTGATATTATTTTGACTGATTCTAATATTTTCTGAATTCACTTCATTCATACAATTTCAATATGCAATATGCAGTTTTCTGAGTGCAATTGCCACGTGAACTTAGCTAAAAAAGGGGGTTCACTGAATTGGGGGTTGGGGAAGGGCTAACGCTTCCTTCCTTGTGAATTCGACTCCCTCAGCACCACGAGCTGTTTTTGGTTAAAAAGAATTTTAAAAGAGTTTTAGAAGAAGTAGGAAGATCAATAAGACACAAATTTTAAACCACCTTGAATAAGCCAACCTCCTCCCCCTTACCCTACTTGGATAATACTCTGGGCTAGCGGGACTATGCAAAAGATCGATTCGCTGCTAGTCGAATATAGGCGTCGTTCTACCTATAGCTAAGACTTTTCTGTTCTTATTCAAAATATAAAATATCTTTTGTGCACTCGTAATAACCTTTTTTATTATAGATATATAAACTTAAAGGCAGGGGCAGATTTAGGGGGGGGGGCAATTTCACATAAAAACGCGTAAATTGGGGGTGGGGGACGCCTTTTTGTTCAGGGATTCGACCCCCTGCCGACCCAAAGGGTCCCACATTGTACTAATTTGAGACATCCATTTTTGGCCGACCGACCCTAAAATTTTTCTAAAGGCGTCTTTGGCGCCAAAATAAACTAACTTTGAGGGGGAGCGCGCGCCAAAAAAAACGCGATTTTTTCGTCAAAATTTTCCAAAAAGTGCCCAAAAACGAGCTCGGAAAATCAATTTGGTCGACCTAAAAAAAAACAGTCGTCAAAACTTTTGAAAATCCGCCTCCTCCCGAGAAAATCCTAGATCCGCCTCTGCTTATAGGCATTATTAAATTATTCATTTGACAATATTACGGGTAAGAGATATAAAGAACAACATTTATATTATAGGTTTGATTTCTTTTCTTTTGCCTATGAGATTTTCTCTAGAGAAAACAAGACTGCTCGTATCACAGCGAATGTTCCAATTGCCTTTAAAGTCTATGGAGCAGTAATAACATCAAAAATTAAATGTAATAAAATTATATAAAATAAAATAAAAAAAACTCTAAATTTTGATTTTTTTTTTAAAAAATCATTCCCCCACACGCCATATAAAGTACAAAAAGATAGATTTTGCTCATTGTAACAAAGCAATTCTGGCAAAAAGGTTTTTCTGTAATTTCTGGCAAATAACTTTCAACCAATTTGGAGCGATTTCTCAGACGGATTTAATCTCCGCTTACGCGTTATTAGCGCGAAATATATCGCGCGTAAACTCTCCTAAATTGGCTTAAATGGTAATCTTTAAACCTCCATAACTTTACAAAAAACGATCACATTTAAAATACCGGTATATATAATTTTTTGTTCCAAAACTTGTAGAAAGTGACGGAAAAATGCTGTTTGTTTTTTTTTAGAAAAATGCCGTGCTCGGGGAAGCTGTTTCTTTTTTGTCTACAGATAACTTCAATTTTTAACGCCAATTTTTGGTAGCAAAAAAAATCAGCTCAATAATTCAATAAAAATTGAAGTTGGGCTCATTTTTTTAAATTATAACGTTTCCAAATTGCTCCTTTGCCCGATTTTGGAAATTTAATTTTCGATCCTATGTGAAATGTCTTTTGAAATAGCTTATAAGAAAAGGTTTTATTCTCTTTTTTTTTAAATACTTCATAATTTCGTGATAAAACTTGGTCTAAAAGAGGCCAAGACTCGTTTTTTTCCACATCAACATAAACAAGAGAAAATTGGTTCAAGTGGTTTTGGTCTAGTTTTAGTCTTTTTGAACCGTAATATTTAACACAACAGCTTACTTATTTCAGAAAAAAATAATAAGCATTAGTTTCCGACGCTAATTTTAATTCTACTTAACTTTTCATTATTTCTTTAACTAAAAAGATACACGCAATGGAGATGTGTTTTAGAAACCATGATAATGGTTGATTTTTTTCTGATTGAGAAAAAAAGATTTTTTTTCCAATTGCACAGAGGATAATTGAATTTCAAAATTTTAAGAAACCGTTCCCATTAATTTTTTGTTCCAAAACTGGAAGAAAGTGACGAATTAAATGATGTTTTTTTTTAAATCCTGTCATCGTGGAAGCTGTTAGTTTTTTTAAGATAAATTCAATTTTTGTACCACCAATTTTTGATAGCAAAAAGTTTCAGCTCAATAACCTATTAAAAGCTTAAGCTAGATTCACTTTTTGTAAAATTAAACCAATTCGACCAATTTGAAATTTCTAACTTGCCCGATTTGGAATAATTAACACGTGTTACAAGCGTTATTCACGCTTGAGCGGTGAGTTAATTCTACTGACAAAAATCATTCACAGTTGAATCGGGGCAAGCTGATAATTTTTATAATATTGTATAGATTGTTATAGTATAAATTATTAGGCTTATAAATAAAAAAATGCATCGTTGTGCTCTTTTTGATAGCGTTGTAGTAGAAAGAATGCATTGAACGATGAAAAATAAATTTGTCGAAAAATTCACCAACTTGCGCGGACGAAAATTATTTAATTTTGGTAAAACCTTGAAGAGCATCCTGATCCTTAGAAGATTTTTCCTTGATACTAGTCCTTTTGTGGTGCCGACTTTCGTAACGAAATTATCGGAATATTTGTGTTCGGGGTGGGTTTTTTTTCTTCAAACAAATTCGACTTATCAACTAACCATTTTTGACTGAGTTTTTGTAATGTCATTCAAAAGGTATTGTTGTCCTGAACTTAAATTTGAAAAGACAATTCACCTAAGATCAAAACTGAAAAGTTTTTTTTTTTGATTTGAGATTTTTTGTGAATTTAATTCCCCAGACAGCACATGAAATACAGAGTGGAAGTTTTCGCTCCTAGTAACAAATCAATGTCGGTAAAAAAGCTCCCTTCAACCATTTTGAAACGATTTCTAAGGCGGATTGAAATTCCGCTGATGTGTTAAAAGCGCGAAAAATATCACGCAACAATTTTCCCAAATTGTCCAAATGGCAATCGTTAAGTCCCCATAACTTTACGACAAAAGATCGCAAGTAAAATATCTTTTCAAAGTTAAGCTCAGGACAACAATACCTTTTGAATGATATAAAATAAATTCAGTCAAAAGTGGCTAGTTAGAAAATCGAAATTTGTCTCAAGGAAAAAACCAACTCCAAGCACAAACATTCCAGTACTTTTGTATCGAAAGTCGAAACAATTATGAACCAATTTTTAAAGAGACAAACCACAAAAAATTGCATA